GTCCACAGACCGCTTTTCCCCCTGTGAAGCATCTTGACTCTTCAGTAAAAAACAGGAGAGAGGCCACAGCAGATGCTATAGGAACAAGTAGGGTAATCATTCATAGGCACAGTTTGAATTGCACACACCTTCTTGAAATATTCATTATAACATCAACCAGAGGCTCTTTCTGAATTCCCAGTAAAAGTGCTGATGTACTTGATCCAGACACAAAATTTACATTGTCATCTTAGTAAAATGAGTATCAAATGTTCTATACACAAAGCACAATAGATGAAGCCTACAAATGATCTGTCTCAGATTGCTTATTTATAATACTCACCTACACAACAGCTACTGAGAAGTTTCAAATTGGAAACTAGGCTTTCTTTGAAAAATCACTTTCTTTTGTCTTATAAATCTTCGCTCAGATAACTTTGCTGTGTGGTCAGTTGTTCTTGCATTACAACACAGAGACTAGTCATTCCTTATTCACAATAATTTACTGGCACATTTTGTCCATTTTGGTTCTCTAATTCGGGATGAGGAGTTCTAATTAAATAACAAATTTAATTAGGGTACAAGGTTACAAGGTTACAGTATTTATGACTTCTAAAAATGCCACTGTACATTTATTTTTGAGAGTAGGAGGGCTGAAGTTGTGCAGTGGAATACTGCTGTTGCAAGATCTCCTTGTATGGAGTTGGACCAGCTGACCTTAAAGGCCTCTTACAACTCTAAGGATTCCACGATTTACTGTTTAGTAATTTCAAACATGCTGACCACAAAGTTGGCATTTTCAGGCAGCTGCTTGCAATGACTTATGCTCTTTCTTAGTTGTTATGTATCTAAACTAGAGTGTATCCTATATGCCTATATATATGCATACGGATATTTGCACAGTTAGGGTTACTGTACTTTGTAGACATACCAATATCTTGGACTGATGACATCCTTTGCAGTTGTTTGATGGCAGCCCTAAAATCTGATATTCTGAATATTTTTCCATTAGCAAATTGTCACTAAACAAAAAAGCTACGGCTTCTGAAATGTTTTCATCCTTTACATTTTTCAGAAGTGATTTCACAGTGCAACACCTCATTATCCATCTGACGGAGTCCAATCTTGCTATTTTCCTTCATGAAAGTAATATAAAAGTTCTCCAAGTCCTGGACAGGGCAGATCTCATGGAAAACCAGAAGCAGATATTTTCTTGTCTTTTCAGCTCCAATTATCCTGCAGACTTTTTAAAAAGACTTAAAAATGATGGAGAGCATTAAACTTTACACAATAGTCACTTAAACAGCCCCAACCACGAACACAAATTCTCTACACCAGACAGTGCTTAATATGCAATATTTAATATTAAGATATGATAAAAATCATATGCAAAGCCATTTTTTAAAGCATCTAAGAGTTTACTTTTGTCACGGGGTTATCCAGCTCTGTGTCCATGACAGACATCTAAAACTGACATAAACCACATTATGAGAAACACAAGTGAAAACCCAATTAAATGGTGGAAGTCTATTAAGATCAAGTCTTTCCTGATGCTAAAACTTACTTCACTGAAGTAGGTACAGCCAATATGGAAAAAATGGCAGTTGCCAAAGTAATTTAATATAAAAGGTATGATATACTAAAGAATAGAATGGATTGATACCACAAAAAAAAAGAGTATGATTGTACATGAGCAAATAGACACACGTACATACCCTTGCTTCACCAAATCGATTGTCCCTTACCATGTTACAAGAATACAACAGGCACTAAAGTACAGTAAGCATAATCAGTGGAAAAGGAAAAACAGAAGGCAATCACTTCAATGTCTACAAAGCTGGAAAAGCACAATACGTGTTCAGGGTGAATAGCCTCACAAAAGGCAAGAAAATGCTGCGTATGTTGCTAGAAATGCAAGTTGCAAGTGCTTAACTTAGAATTTTTCAATTTTTTTGCTCATATTATAAACATAATATAAAATGCTGCCAACCTCCAAAAATATTCAAACGTTTTTTTGTCCCATGTAGGTTTGGTTATCTATAAATAGTAGCTTTTTTATGGATTTAAGAACTAAATTTCAGCTACTTCACTTAAAAATGCTAGACACAAACATCTGAAACAGAAGTTAAAGATGAGGGCACACATAGCCTTTGCAAATATATCTCTAGGGACTCACCACAAGCCAACAGCCTGAACTGTTCCTTTGAGCTTGATGGCACAATATGCTTCGAGGATACAAACTCTGATAGGGTTTTACACAACAAATTCCAGCCTGGCAATTGCACACAAAAGCAACTGGAAACCACAGTCAAAGCATCCTGGAGCCTGTGGCCTTTGCATTCCTGAGGCTCTTCCTTGTCCAGGATCAAAGCTCAGATGTGCAGGACTGCTGGGAGCAGCTTTTGCTCTGCAATTCTTGAACAAATGTATCCCTCCCCTCCCTAAATAAGGAAAAAATTAGTCATCTGTTAGAGGCCACCATTTTTCCTTGGTCCACAAATGCAAAATGTCAGGTTGCTCTTGCAAACAGGCCCTTTGGTACAATAAGCAGCACAAATCAAGAGAAAAAATCTTTTAGATTTTTAAGACACATTTTGTGGTAAGCATCAAGAACACGAAAAACATCTCCTCAGCTAAAATACTGCACTTCACAGTCACTTGCTATGAAGATTACATATTTAGCTAAAGTAGAATCCATCTGTCATTGCATAATTCTGGAATACTACATTAAATTTCAACCTTCTACTTGAAAGCAAGGGGTCAGCATAAAAAATGACGTTAATTGCTAGAATGCATCATCTTGACTATCATTTTATTTTCATTCCAAATGCAAAAACACTCAGGGATCAGGTCAGACTGTTGAACTGGTATTTAGTCAACCTTGAATTGTGATTGAAAAAGAAAATTCTAATGTAGATAAAATACAGAAACATATATAGAGATAATAAACGGGCTGCATTTCACTAGCTGCTTTAAAGGATATAGGAGTGAATATACTTATTTTTCCAGATAATAATAATTTTTACTAAGAATATGAAGGAATAAAAAGAATTATGGAAGAAGAGCAGTGAGCCTAGGCAAGCAAATTGATAATGAATACAGGGGAAGGAATAATGAGGTGTGAGAACTCTAAACAGGTGATGCTGAGTACCTTTGTTGCAAACACCACACCCACACAAAAATCTAATTTGGAAATTCCCTGTCAACCTGTATTTGAAAGATTAGTTTGCTTTTAAGGATTACCAGAGAAAAATTCTTATAACAAGCTCAAATATGTTCTTACAAATTATTAAACAGACCCAGACATGTATACAACATTATAACTTTCTTTAAGAAGTGTCATTTTCCCATCTTGGTCCTACTTGATTTTTCTTTCAATTACACATACAAAAAATGAAGCAACAACAATAAAAAGAAATATTCCATGTCAGTTGTTTGACTGATATAAAAACACAGAGCTTTGCTGATATAAGCAGAGCCATGATTATTTAGATCAGCTGCAGAATTTTCCCTCATTAGACATTTACTGTCAGACTGTTGTGTATAAACAGCACTATAAACAGAACTCTGTGGGTTCAGCATTTTAAGATGAAAGCTGTATTTCAAACTCAAAACTTCAGGAGCATCTCAGAAATCAGTGGAATACTTATCTTCATAATATTCCACGTGACCACATTGAAAACATAGTTTAGAATATATACATGTTTAAACCAAACTTCCTGACACATTACACAATGGATTTTTAATAGATAACAGCTGCGAAGAGATGGTGGTTTGTTCATTTTTTTTATTTTCCTATTTGCAAGGCAAAAAGACATATCCAATAGGGAATGTGCTAAAAAACATTTAACAAAGCCAATATTTGAGTTTTCCCAGATAAGAATTGTAATTAATGCCCTAACGATAAGCAATTAAGTTGTCACATCTCATAGCTTTACAATACAGACTGGAAGGCTGTACAAAATTGCATGTATCTATGTGCAATTGCTGTGGGTTTGTTCCAGAAAGCCAACTAATGCTTTGCAGAAATGAGGAAGTGTAAAGGTGCTGCTGCCCTAGTAGATTCAAATGTTTCCTACAATCCAATCTGGTAGAAAAATGCTGGGCCCATACCACACATGAACTTACAAGCATCCCTCAAGAGAGAGCAAAAAGCTGAACCCAAGACACCTCCACTCAGGATACTCATAGCACCAAACAAGGATACTGCAGAAACAGACAGGGCCTACAGCACTACTTCATGTAGTGAAGATGGGAAACAGCTGGTCAAGGTTAGAGGTAAACTAGGTCCCCCAGTTCAAGCAATGCTGCTTGTTTATTCCTAGCACAGCTGGAGATAGATTACGCAGCAGTGGGAACTAGATAATTTTTAAGATTCCTTCCAACCCAATCCATTCTGTGATCTTTCCAGACTAAAACTTTAATGAAATTACAATGTAATCTCAATATGCTACACATTTTAAGCTGTGGTATTAAAGCACATCATATTATCACATCTGTCCATGAGAAGAGCTTATACAGTAGATGAAAAACATAATCACACTGCTGCTCCTGTTGTTTTTTTCTAAGACTGCAGTCTGAGTGTTGCACTTTTCTAGACAGATTTAGTCCACTCAACAAGAGCTCAGTAAAAACCCCAACAATTCATACCATGGTCATGATTTCTACATAATGTTATGGCATTTAAACAAAGAGAGTAGCAGCAAGCACTAGTTTATTTTTCAGCACCTTTTTTTTTTTTTCTGCATATCCTTCAAAATTGTGCAGTGATTGGAAGATTTTTATATGAATTGTTATCTTTAAAGAATAATGCCTCTAAATAAAAAACAAGTTTTGTATCTTTGAATCAGTTCCCAAACATAAACATTCCAAGACATAATACAGTCAAATCAGTAAGACAGCATTGGAATAAGATGAATTAGTAAACACACACAGAATATTAACTCCCTTTCTCCACCATCACAACAGTGAACCAGAATTTATGATGATGCAAGTTTCATACCTAAACCAACAAAATCAGTAACTGTAAAATCATCTGGCTTTATTTAATAAGATCCTTTGATATCCTTGAAGTGTAGAAATAAACATTTCCAGATTTTCTTTCATGATGAAGGTTTTCTTTCTTTCTTTTTTTTTTTTTTTTTAAACTTCCCTGAAAAATGTTATGATAAATGTTGGACGTGCATTTTGCATTTTGCAAATAATCGTTGATACATACAGCTGTGCTTTTAATTATACAAGACAGTAGCACCATCTACTGGTAAGATGATCTTCAAACTTTAGAAAAAGCTGTGGAGAGTGACCCAGCCAAAATGATGCAAAATGCTACTAAGAGTAATACGTAGTTTTTCAGGCCCTGGATAGATGAAAGGAGAGAAAAAGAAAAATATATCATAATTTATATCTCTTCACAAAAAAAAAAAAAAAAAGGGAAACTTAAACAATAGGGTTTCATTTAATGTTATGATAAAACAAATCTATCCATTACATGAAAAGGTAATCTCATCTGTAATGGCAAATTACACATCTATGAATCTTGTACTGAATAGCTAAGGGAATGTTAGGGCTACACTGCTATGCTTCAAATTCCATTAGAAAAATAATTTCAGCCGTGTTATGTTAACATCTAGTAAATTAGACTGTTCTGTGCATATCAGCTTAAGAATCTCTATAATGTCCATCAGCATGGTGCTCTGCCTCACTGTTTGGAAAATTTGATCCTGGTTTACTAGTCTATGTGATTATTGAGACAATTGCTGAATTCCCTGCCCCTGCTGAAAGAACTAGCTCAAATAAAGGTTATGCTTGGCATCCCATTTCTTGACAATGCTACAGCCTTTATTTACTCCCCCTGCTGCTCATAGTTCTGGAATTCCAATCTTCATTCCTGTAAGACTTGTTCAAAGTTCTTAATTTTTCTTGGAAAACCTATTACTGCATGTCATGACTTTCTGCTTCGTAATGCAATACTTGTAAGGTGGAGAAATCAAACAGAGACAGCTCTTTATCAAGTAATGCTGCTCTACAAGCTAGAGACAACCACAAGAGAGACTAGGTGAAAGATGTACTAAGATTACCTTGATTTCTTTAAATACAAGGACTCCCCACATTGCAGCAATAAGGCCAGGACCCTAAAGAATAAGATTCATTTGTACATTACAGCATTTCCTTAAAATGTGCCACATTCCCATTACTGTTTTAAGGGTGCTTGCATTTCAATTGGATAGCAAGTTTATGTCTTTCCATCCTGTATAATTACAGCATTCACGGAAAAAGCATTACCATCACCAAAGTGATTGTATCTTACCCTAGGAGGTAAGATACAATAAATAATCAAGAAGGGCTAAAGAAGTAAAAGACTGTTATTACAGAGGGCATAATTCTTTCTAAATTACACTGTGAAGTCTGCACTAGCTGTTACACATTCTTTTAGAGTCTCCAAATAATATGTACAAATACAGACTTTAATCTATCACCACATTTCAGAGGATTATTCAGGTTTTTTTTGGCAGCCATCAAGGATATTCCTAACATTTCCTCTACTATGACTAACCTGTTCAACAAAGTTTGATTTTATCACTCAGTATGATATCAAGACACTGGAACATTAAGGTTATTTCCTGTATTTCAGGGATCTGGACAAAGCACAAAGCCAGACAGTTAAGACAGGTCAGGAAAACTAGTGTTTTATCTGTGATGTCGCCTTACAGGTTTCCTAGCTAACAGCAAGCAGTGGTACACGATGATATTTTCCAGACATTCCTGGTAATACAGTTTATCTCCTCTGTGTCCAATGACCTGAATTCTCACGTCTGATAAGAAAACGTCTGAAACTCTCTGCAAATGTTTCCCATTACAGCTGCTCTCTGAAACACTTGACAGATGTTTAGACAGTCATTTTCCTCTCTCTATCTTAAGTAAAGTCAATAGGACAAAAATTTATACCAGGAGAAAACAGTACCTTATGCTGAGTGTGTTTGCACATGCTATTTCTGAGTGAAACTGCAAAGTATTATTTACATAATAACTAAGGTGCTATTTCACTTTCTAGATAACTTACATTGCCAGAGGAATGCATTTTTTAAATGAAACAAATTGTTAAAGGGACGTGATGAGTAACTGAAATTCCCTCTAGGATGAAGTAAAGCAGCAATTCCAAAACTGCAGTGAAAGACAGGGAGCTTCTCATCAGTGCTGTCTTTAAAATTTTTCATTTAGTGATTTTATATCCTTGCCATTTATGTATGCTGATAACCACAGTTACTAAAGCTGCTTTCCACTAATCCTTCAGTTTGTAATTAGAATGATGCAAGGTTTTTTTCATTGCATACTGCAGAGTTCATTTTGATTAACTGCATCTTGAAGCAAACTTTAATCCCTATTGTTTCATTAGTTTTGGTTTTTTTTTTTTCCCAAAATAGAGCTGTTCTGCAGAACTTTGATTTTGATACTTATAAACTTCAATTTGCCAGAAGTTATCCAGCTTTGCAGTACCACTCAGAGTAACAGCAAATTTATACACAGTGATGGAATTTATGCAACTTCTGGATGTTAGCTGTTTGAAAGGTACAGTATCATAAGCAGGAATCAAACAGCTATTTTCCCTGCCTAGGTATAAAGAAATTATTTTCAACAATTCAAAAGCTGTTAGATGTGTTCAAGAACTGTGGTAAAAAATACTTAATTAAGAATAATAACTGATACTTAAAAGTAACAACTGAAAAAAATCCAGAGCAATACATACTTGGTGAGATGAAAATACGTAACTTCTCTCACTATTTAATATTGATACAATTGTGTTTCCAGAGCATTGGCTTTAACACAGTTTGAAGTCTCTTACTTTCAACTCCTCCATTTTTCACTGGCCAAAATGGTGCTTGTCACAGTCATGAAAGTTTCCAATAAAACAAAAGCAAAAGAGGCAATGCATACTCTTGAGGGAAAAAAAAAAAAAGCCCTAGGTGTGCCAAAATTTCATCTTAATTCCACAAACAGCAGAAAAAGAACTTTCACTTCAATTCTAGTCAGAGATTTTGTTGTTATATACTTACTGCAGTAATTATTGGAAAGCTGACTACAGCACTGAGATAGTGATTGGCGATGAACCAGCAGCAATTGGCTATTGCCCAAAGCAAACCAGAAACAAACCCTAGAAAAATAAATTCTGATCAAAAACATGTACAGAAAAGTATAGACAGCCATTTGTGAAACATCTGTATTTACAGCATAATAGCAAAACTGAATATTTTAGTACAGTAACTACTCTAACAAGCTAGCTCTGATAATCTAGACCAGGCTCAAGGGATAAAATCAGCTATCTCAAATGAAGCAGCAAATTATCACTGAAGTTCACACTTTCCTGGGCAATGTGTTGTCCTCTAAGGCAGAGTTAGGTTTTGAAAATGCACCACTTGCAATGTCACTTTTCAGAGCAGAGCAAAATTAAGGTTTTTTCCTAACCTTAATTAACCTAATAGCAGTATCTTTCAAAACAAAGTCAAATGAAGAGACTTCAAAGGCTAACCACAGCTCCAATACACAGACTGAAGTAGTCACTGCAAAGAAGTACAAAGAATTAACAGTCATTAGCTACTAATTTAACAGTACAACATACCTGGTAGTATGGCTTGGGGATAAACATTAGGTTTATTTTTCCTGACTGCACAGTAGATCAAAAAGTAGACAGTACTTGTAAGAAATATTCCACTGAAGTGTGCAAAAACATAATCTAAATCTGAAAGAGAAATTGAAAAATTGTTATTACCCTAAAATATCAGCTATTAATTTTAACTACATTTATTTCACTGATTCTATTCCACAGACAAAAATACATAAAATGCTACTGCTAACAATTCAAGTTCAATTGTGGTTATGATTAACATAACAGTCTGACTGTGGAAGATTTGGTTAATCATACATATCCTATTAAACATGAATTAAATGTTGCACTGATTCTAGCATTTATCACAAGCCTTTATGCATTCGTGTGAGTTATTTTTTGTAACTCTATTAGTCAAGCTACTGAATTAATTTATAAAAAACTTGAGAAAACCCTTAAACGAGGCCACAAAAGTGATGGGGAGCTGTTTTACATAATCACATCCTCTCTTAACCATCTACATTTGCACTCCTGTAGATAATCATTTCTTTTCTTTATGTTATACATTTAAAACTGCACATGTGACTGCACAGATAACTGCACATAATAACTGCACATACTATGGAAGATAAACACGGTCTTTTTTGTCTTTTTTTTTCTTTTTTCTTTCTTATCTTAAAGAATGCATCACAATTTTGATCTCTATAATCACTAACAAAAATCCTTTACAGATTGGGTAGGTGCTAAATAAAACTTTCCCAATGTGGTAAAGCTGAAGCATGTAGCAAGGTAATCTCCATCTCCTTCCATCTGTGAGTCCTCATCAGAAAAGGCAACTACAGTAATAATACATGATGTCTAGTTTGGGAATACATGAATTGCTGCATTCAAATGAAACTGTACATGATGTAATAAGCAGTGTTAATGGCAGCATTGCTCTGCCCAAGTGGTATGCTGCCCTTAAACTGTGGCTGGTACTACTTGCTAACTTATACTAAATCTTCAGGAAAATGCTTCTTGAGAAACATTTAAGTTGACTGTTAATCTTCAACAAAAGGCTTCCATTTAAAAAACAATACCATGTTAATTACTTAAACTTTTGTATATCTCTTCAGCTCATTATGTTCTATCTTCTTTTCCACTACTAGTGTACTAATTTGGCAGCAGAGTCAGCTCTTGCCCCTCACGTTCCTGGCATATGAACCTGGTACTTTGAAAGTGTTAGTAAGTGAGATAAGCATGGTTATCTTCTGGGTAGTTTCTCATTGTTCTTTTAATGGTGTAAGTCACCTCTGGGAAAAAGGGAGCTCTAGTATTTAGATAGCAACAAACTTGATAACACATAACATAGTGCAGAACTTCTATTTTCTCACTGTACTTCCTGCAGTACAGTTTCATCCTGTGCCTTTAAGAAAGCAGAAGACTGCTGTGTAATAATGATATAAAGCAGAAGGGTCTTATTAGCTTTTACCAAATTGACTCGCTCTTGCATATATAGTTTCATTTCTTCTTCCATGGTCCTTGATGTAAAGTACTGGTACAAAACTGGAACCGTAGAGTATTCCAGCTATGACAGCTAGGCTACATCCTCTTTAAAAAGAGCAAAAATCAGAAAAAAAAACAGCCTGGTGTTAATTAGGGAAGTAAGTAATACACTTAAAACATCTAAGAAAATTGCTAGCAATGCCATAAAAATGATATGTTAGCACATTTTTAATTTTTTTAAAGCAGAAATTGTTCAAAACAGTAATTTAGTTTTCCTGCACTTCATAGCCAAGTAATACAGATAGTTCTTGTGCCAAGAACCTGCAATCAGTATTAACCACATTCACCACGCAATATTTTTTTAAAAGTGAAGCTAGGAGAAAACAAAAGATACAGTTAAAATGCTCCAACTCTCAGCTTCACTTTGCAGTCAATGTTTTCCATACAAAGACTTCCAGGATCACTGCATCCCCTTCTCCACTTCCATACGATTGGGGCCTTGGCTGTCAGCAGTGCCCTTGCTAGCCTTGCTAGCTACCAATTCCACCCTGGACCACTTCTGCTGTTTACTTACCATGTTGCCATGCTTTTTCCAGGTGTTTTCACCTGGAAACCACACCTGGAAGCATGAGTTCCTTCTATGCTGGGTGCTAATAAACATGATACAAACCAGCTCTGTAATCACTTAATTGCTATTGATGTTTACTCTGCAAATGTTCTTTGATAGGGTAAAATACACTGAACACAGAAGAAAATTATCCAACTAGCTTAGCTTTTCATCTACAGAATCACAGAATCACAGAATCACAGAATCGTAGGGGTTGGAAGGGACCTCCAGAGATCATCGAGTCCAACCCCATATCTACAGATATGTGTATTGTTTATTAGTGCATGACTATGCCTGGAAAACTTCAAAACAAATTCTGTTCTTATTGTGTGTTTAATTACTTTCTCTGTTAATGACTTACACAAATCTTTTTTTTACTGGAGAAAGATTGGTCACCCATGAGACATCAGAGGTGTCTTCAGAAGCATTAACAGACTGTAGAAAAATTAGAGTTTTTTACTCAGTCCTGCTTTTTTCCCTTTAAAAAGAAAACAGCATCTCAAACATCATATTAATACAGCAGTGTTGCTCTAAGAAAATGATAATGGAAGGAAAAATAGGAGGAATTTACACAGATACTTTGAATAAAGAAAAGAGAAATCATTTCAGAAAAAAAAAAAAAAAAAGAAAGAACCTAACAGTAATAATTGGATCTATCTCAAAGTCTGTAAATGACTGGCTATGGATTTTGGCTTTCCTATGTTACAGAGCATTTTTAAAATTCACATGCAGGTCTGCCTTTCAAAATTTGTCCTGTGCTGTGGATCAGGGACTGGTTCTGTAATGTGGCAAAAATCTGGGAGAACACTTAAACAGTCAGCTGCCTTCCCACTATGCATTCTCCTGCTATTATAGTTAAGTTTCTATTAAAATTGCTTCCTCTTCTCAGAGAGGGAAGAATTACACAGTGTCTATAACTCTGCAACAATTACTTGTAAATCATAAAGCTGAGAAAGAACATTTGGGAAAGCCTTTTCTGTTGCTCACGTTTGACTGAATATACAACTAAAACATAATCAATGCATATTTATACAGTTTTATGTAGTTTACCATGAACTTTGACAAAATATGTTAGCATTAAAGCAGTTTTTGCTGTTGTTTTTAAATGGTTACATATTTTCACTGCTGTAAAGTAACAACTAAAGAGTACTTACATATTCTCTCAGTAATGGCGTGCTTTCTAATGAAGCTGAAGAAGTTTGGACTTCAGTTTTTATAAAAAAAAATATGACAGCACTCAGAAGAGAAAAACATACCAATGATTACCACAAGGATATAACATTTAGTGTCCAGAAACAAAAGGTATGTTTGGAAGAATATTAGTTTATTGTCATTACTATCCTAGACTCAATTCAGTACATTTTTAAAATGCAATTGCTTTGAACAGTTTTAACAACTCACTTCAGCAGAAGTAAACAGATTGATCTTATTTTAATCTTTAAAGTTCTCTCTTCTATATAATGGCATGGAAATGTCTCCTCTCTGTGGTGTGTAGTTATAGACACATGCTAATAATAGCTGTGGTAGATAACAGTCCCTTTTGTACAACACCACACATGGTCAAACATCTGCACAGAAATTCTATATGGAAAATCTTAAAACTGCACACAATTGGATTTGTGCCCAAGGGAAATTAGTCTTTCTGAGTCTTCTATCATGTGCAACTGGGAGAGCACTGCTCCTGCAGGGTCTCATGCACGTGCAGAAGGAGAAGGGGTATTGCTCAGTGGTGCTCCAATGCAATGACTGATTAAAAGGAAGAAGAAAGGGGAACACTTCTACTTTTACCCCCAGCTCTCAGAAATCAGGTAAGTATATGTAATTAGAACTGTAGGTATATGTAATCAGTCTGGTTCTGGATTGTTTTTTTAAATTATTTTTCAGCAAGATAATTCAATGTTCTACAAATTCTTTCTCATGGTCATAAACAGAATGCCTCCATTTGAGGAGTGATTTATCTCCTGCTGAAGCCATATGGATAGACACAAAAAGATGCCAGCTTCCTCCAGAGGGACTAGGTAAATATGCACAGGTCCCACCCAGGAGGCTAAAATGAAACACATGCTTCTGAGCTTTACAGAACAATATACATATGCTTTGTGCAGCTTGCCAGGAAAACAAGTCTAGTAAGGATCTTTTCCCGTGTTGATCACTTTTTTCTCATATCTCAGTAACAGGCAGGAAGCAGCTGGTGAGCTGAATGAATTTATCAGGCAGGAATAGTAGCACTGCTACGTTCAGTGAAAACCTCTCAAAATCATGCACTGCTAATGGGTAAAAAGCCACAGGAATCAAGGATGGTCTCCACTTTCCCCATGTTCTTAACCCTCATCGTTTGTGCATTTTTGGGGGGTATTTTGTGCATCTATTGCTCAGCATGCCTATGGCAAGCCTACTGCCCCTGCATTCAGGGCTGCCCTTTTGTTCCTGGAAAGACCTCTCTAGCCAATCAGCTGGAAAGCAGAGACACTGCTGCCTAACAAAGACTATCTTTACTCTATGTTTAGCTCAAAACATGAACCCATACAAATAATAAACTAATAATAAAAATGAGAAGTCCTTCCAAAGGTCCCAAAGGAAGCCATTGTTTGGCAGTTACTAGAGCTAAGGTAGACAGAGCTGCTACAATGAGTGCACCACAGATCTGTCTTGACCATGTCTACCAGTATCAAAATACGTTTCTGTACTGAAATCTAGGTATTTCTGGAAACAAACAAAAAAAAAGCAGGTATGGACAACTCAAAAATTTTGTGATAAATCACTTTGCAAAAAACAGTTCAATACATTTGCCTGCTGCTTACATTTTTCCTGTGGTTATAAAATACATTCTTATGTTACAAAAATTAATCATTACTTTTTACCTTAACAGTGAAAGTCCGGCTCCAATATAATTTAAGACTGGTCTTGCTACCTCTTCTGGGTCAATTCCAAACCATCCGAACCTGGAATATGTAACTACTTACTCTTAGCTGCACTGATTGCACACCAAATACTATAATCTAGTCTTGAAAATCTTTACACACAGGAATAATTCAGCTGAAGTTTACATTAGAAACATTGGATCGATGCTTCAATTGGCTTGCAAAAATTCGCATTTATTCAAAAGAAATCTTTAACTTAATTGAAATTGATTTTTTTTTTTTTTTTAAGCTGGGTATTTAAAAAATCAAAGTTAATTTGAATTGTTTTATCAACCCGTGCTGCAGAAGACAGTGCTCTAGTTTTATGTAAAAAACCCACATTATTTATTTACTCAATTATGTTAATAAACATGACTGGGCATTTTCTTCCTACTAAGGCAAAGGAAACAAAAAAGATAAAATAATTAATCTGTCTACTTTCCATATTGAAAGAAAAGATCTTTTAAGTATCCTCTTTATTGGCAACAGTGCTTACACTCTACTGTTAACAAGGAAAGAGAAACATTAATAATGTATGATTTAAAATGCTTACCTGGAACTTGCCCAGCCTGTCAGCAAATTGAAAGAAGCCCATATCAGAAGACCAAGAGCTAAGCCTATGGTTTTAATAATAGGGACTACTGTGATGTTGCCTGAAAAAGAAAAGAAAAAAAAAAAAAATCAATGACCCACAACACCAAAATTGAAATCAGTTATAAACCAGATTGTGGTCTTGCATATTTTAGCTATCAATTTAGTCTAAGAATGTTCAGAAGGAGATACAATTGAGGCAATTACAGGTTGGTAGCAACAGCATTTTTTTTTTTAATAAAAAAATACACTGAATCACAGACTTTTCCTCAACATCATTTTAAAAGTTATTTTTGGTGCAAATTTGCTGCTTATAAAATAAAAAGCTGGAGGCATTAAGTAGGTCCACCCAGCATATGCAGTATTACTATTCACAATAACATTTTCTCCAAAAGTAAAGCTCTATTATCAGCAGGACTAGAAAAGCCAAATAATTACCTCATATACGGAAATGGTTTTGTTGCTGTTTTTGTGATGACTTAGGATTACTTTGTTTTTCAAGGATTGGAACACTTACCTGTAGCCCACAGGAAGCCTCCTACCATAGCCAAAGGCCAAAACTGGGGGCAATTCTGGATTAAATTGACCACCAAAGAAACTATCCATATGGAAGCACAGAGAATCCACTGGAAGAACATTCCTATGGAAAAAGCAAATGTGCACAAGAGAGAAATGGCAGAACATTGCAAGTGTGAGTCTCTTGCCTCTGAACGTACTCTTTTAGCTTAAATAGTACACGAAAAAAAATGAAACTTGGTCACTTCCTGTCGATCTATTCCCTGCTATGCACTCTATTAAAAAAATAAAATAAAATAAATTGGTGGGCAATGTTTACACAGGCCCAATCCTCAAATGCATGAAAAGTTCTGATAGTATTCTGACAAAGAGGATATTAAGTTACTGGAAGCTTCTCCCACCACCCCAGTAGCAGCTAGCGCAGGTGACTGAGCAAGACAAAACTCCTTCAGGGCCCAGCTCATTAATACAGAACACTGAGGATGACAAAGTTTGGACAAATCACTCTAACCTTCATTGAACCTCTAAGGGGCAACTAAGCAGATCGTTTAACTTCATGCCAGCTAAGACTTTTACTTTAAACTATCCTTGTCTTTCTAGGACTGCATTTGGTACCAAAAAAAAAAAAAAGAAGAGTCTACACAGCTGTAGATATGTTTCTCTGGGGATTGGTTATTGACTATGCTTCACATAAACATAAACATACAACATGAAACTAGTATCATAAAGTGACAACATCCTAAGGAAATTAAAAGCAAATAGAAGCGATGTTTCCTCTTACTGGCATTACTAATTATAAGTATAAAAATGTCCTTTTCTTATTGGTCTCATATTATCTCAGGTCCATAACCAAAGGGCAATGCTCTGAAAACCAACACCTTTTACAGTGTTATTTATCATAACACTGTATGTACTTGAGAATTCCCACCCCATGGTAAAAGTAAGGACATTTCACATTCTACTGGAAGATGCTCATGAAATCATCATTATTGTTAAAAAGAGATTTACTGTATCCTGAACTAATACATTACTACTTTATACTCTAACATCAGAAAGGAAGTTTAAACACACAGACTATACTGATACTTATAAATCTATCTATAGAAACATTCACATTTGCAGGTGAAATATTATTCCTACTAGCAAAATTAATAAAAGTAAAAATGTAGATAAGTTTACCATCACCAGTATCATATTTTTTAACTGGCACAAAATTTGTCCCAAATAGAAAAACAGCTACTGCGGAAGAAATAAATCCAATAGCAAGATCTGTGCTATTGCTGATGTTAAAGGTATTGTAGGCTCTCTCAAAGCTCATTTTTGCTCTGAAGGTGTCTCTTCTTGTAGAGCTTTCCTTTTTGCTGCAGGTCTTGAAAGATTCTGAAATCAGAGAGCAGAATTCAATATGTGAGTATTAAAAATACCACTCTAGTTCAGAAACCTGCAACTCAAAGGACTCTAAGTTTCTCACTCAGAAGCCTGAAAGAACTGGGAACTAAACCATGGAATCCCATGCCATACAATTGTGATCACATGCCAATTAAGAACAGATGCACACAATAATTGGCACATTTCATATCTTCATAGAAATCGTGTCTGAAAACACAATGCCATGAATGCAGATGATTTGAATCTGTGAGTTAGGGGAAACCTTGCTGCCTAGGGAGACACTGTATCATAATATTCTTGCTCCTGTAGGCAAACTAGTTACACAGGTGTGTAAAAAAGCACGGATTTGAAAATTAGATCAAACCATTACTGGAAGAAGCTACCAGTAAATTGCAATTTCTCTGCCTACAAGTCATGAATAGGCATAGAGATTCAACAGATTGCCATAGTGAGCTTCACATAGGATTGTAAGCAAACCACAAGAATTGCTCTAGTTGGTATAAAGCAGGAATAAAGGTTCATCTTTTCCTCTGAGTAGGACAAGCTGCCTCAACAGTTTCTTCTTTCATTTCTTAGAATTACAAGTGAAAGCCATAGATTTTCTTCATCTCATAACTTCTTCTTTTGTTCTTTTAGTTGGAGATTCACCTAGAGATTACACTCAACAGAAGTGTCCCATACACCTCTGATATGGATTTGATAGAAAAAGTGGCTCTGAAGTCAACTATATAAGAAAAGCAAACATATAAGAAACAAATATATAGGAAAAGCACTTGGAATTGTAACCTGCAACAAGATATTTAACTGGCAATACATAATTTAGTGTTTTTACCCTATACTCTAGACTTCCTCTTTCGATGAAAGATTTTCACTGTTAAAACCAACCAATTACTCTGTGAGTATAAAGGGACATATTTATAGAAGTACACAATCCTGTTGTTGATGTAACACTGCTTATTCTGATTATAATGACTTCCCAATGCAGTTTGAAATTCCCCAATGTAGTGGACCAAGTGCTGCCTGGAGGAAAGAAGCTAAAAAAGGATGGAGGAAATTTTGCCAAATCAGCTAAGGGGTGCTGCAACTGTACTCTGTTAAAAAGGAAGAGCTGAGCCACAGCATGTATTTTCATCTTGCTTAACCCTCCAGCCTCAGCTCCTCTGCAGTCCTTAGGACACTGAGAACCACATCTGCTGAGGCAGTGCTTTTATCTAAGCTTCCGCAGAGTCATCAGTGCTGGCTGAATTTAATCAGTTGTATTAGCAAGTGAAAAGTTCAGTCCCATAAGTACTGTTACCAATTAGTTTCCGTAATTTCTCTCCTTGAAAGATCATTTTTTCATTAAATACTTACGAAAAAAACCACAAGTGACATCTAGAAGACATACTACAAAGGTATAATGGCACAGGTATTTCAGTTCTCTTTTTCTCATTTATTCTTCACCTTCCTTACCCATTTAGAAGATAACCTGCACCAGATGATTTTTTACTGTACTTAAAGACTTCTGTAAAGTAGTTTTGCATGGGAAAACTTCCCCTTTGTCAGTGAAAATAATAAGGCTGAGATTTCTTCCAAGACTGAACTCACAGGTTGAGAAACACTGTGACATCACAAGAATAAATCAGAATAGATAAAGGCTTATATCAGCTAGCTTCATGCCATCAGGATTGACTCATAGCATGTTAAATGCCATTCACATAAGGCACAAAGGCTGGCTTTTCCACAAGAAAAGCCTTTATGCTATTAAAGACATAAAAATAAAGCTGGTCACATTGCATCTCTGTGAGCACAGGGTTCAGTTCTTTAGTCTTTAAATAACTAAGTATAAATAAGTCATTATTCACGTAAAATATTAAGAACCTTTCGAATTCAAAATGGCTTATCATCCTTTTTGATTTTGTTAATCTACATATAAATGTCACATTAAAAATACTTCATTTTTATATCCATTAGGAGAAAATCTTGTGATGCAGGTGAAGACAGTATCCAACAGATATAAAAAAATGCACATTGAAAACAACAGTACAACTGTAAAACTATAATTATGACACAAAACCCACAAATTTCAGTTAATTGAGGAGGAGCATGCTCCATTCAGTCTGATGAAAACTCTGCAACTCTCCAAGGTTTTGGGTACTTACTCTCCAAATTTAGCTAAACATCAGGGCCAACTTCCAACTCCATTTTAATGACTTCAAGAGCAAGTTCAGCTGGACGAGACCTGGAGCAACTGGATGTGCTTCAATGACAGCACTGCTTTAAGTGGGGATTTGAACTATACGACTGTCAGAGGTCCCTTCTAAATTAAAATTAGTCTATGACCCAGTGTCAAGAGCAAATAATTTACTTGAAAGAGTGGTGAGACACTGGAATGGGCTGCCCAGGGAGGCAGTGGAGTCACCGACCCTGGAGGTGTTCAAGGAACGGTTGGATTTTGTGTTGAGGGACATGGTTTAGTGAGAACAATTGGTGACAGGAGGATGGTTGGACTGAAGGTCTTTTCCAACCTTGGTGATTTTGTAATTCTGTGATACTGACATACAGCATTAAGTCAACTGCATTTTTTGTTCGCATGTACTGGGTCAATAATCATAGTCTTGTTCTGAGAATTTCAGGGGATTCCTGAAAAACCTCTTTTGTTATCTACAATCCTGTAATTGCCAGATGAATAAGCTTATGCACCTCCAACAGCTTATAGCTAACAAATGCACAGCAGGGTTATAGCTGAAGTTGCCAGGATGTCAGAACACAGTGGTTTTATCTGCAAGTCACAGACAGTTATGGCAGTTACCTAAAGAAGTTCTTCAGTAAGTAGCTGAAAGGTATTTCAGGGTTTCTGAGCTGCAGAGGAAATATAGTTTTGTTTGTATACATTGGCTTTAACCCACTAATTTCACTGAAAGTTCGTGTTCTCTATTTTCACTGTTTCCATGTTCCTTCACACTGAGGGTGGTGAGGTCCTGGCACAGGCTGCCCAGAAAAGGTTGGGGTGCCCCATCCCTGGAGATGCTCAAGGCCAGACTGAATGAGGCCTTGGGCAACCTGAGGTGGTCTGGTGGGGGGGGCAACCAGCCCACTGCAGGGCATTGGGACAGGGCCAGGCCAAGCCATTCTGTGACTCTATTACCTTCACTTACTGCAACAGTAACACAGCAGTGCAGTCCTTACAAACAGCTGTGTAAGCAAGATGCCAGCTCCCATTGCAAGTTGGATCCACAGTACTGCCACGATCTGAAACTGCTCACACTCATTTAATTTGTTTAGAAGCTGTAATTAACGTTACTAATTTGCACATTTTTCCTATACCACATTTCCCATTCAGGGAATCTCCTTGGTGACACAGCAGCTTGCTCAGGTGACACCAGGCCCACTGCTCATAGAATCACTCAGGTTGGAAATGACCTTAAAGAAGATCATCGAGTCCAACTATGACCTGATCATCCTACCCTAATCTAACAACCCTCTGCTAAATCCTGTCCCTGAGCACCACATCCAAACGGTTTTAAACACATGTTGGTGTTGGTGACTCAACCACCTCCCTGGGGAGCCTATTCCAGTGCTTAACAACCCTTTCTGTAAAGAAGGTTTTCCTGATATCCAATCTAAACCTTTCCTGGCACAACTTGAGGCCATTTCCCCTCGTCCTGTCACCAGAGAGAAGAGATCAGCCCTGCTCTCACTGTAAACACCTTTCAGGTATTGGAAGAGAGCAACAAGGTCTCCCCTCAGCCTCCTTTTCCCCAGACTGAACAGCCCCAGTTCCTTCAGTCTCTCCTCACAGGCCATATCCTCCAAGCCCTTTCCTGTTGAGCTGAGCGTTTCTTCTCTTCCCTACGACCACACTTCCCAAAGACAGGCAGCACTTTCACTAAGCAAGCAGCACGGAAAAACGTGCTCACTACATAGCCAGACTCTGCCCTCCTAGCAGCAGGCTGCCATTGCCTCAAGGCCGCCATTAGGCGGAACACGAGCGAGCAGAGCGCGGTTGCGCTTCCTCGCGCTCCCGCAAGCCAAGCGCTCAGACACCGCTTGTGGAGAAACCGACAGCAACCGCCCCAGCAGGCGCCCGAGCCCCGCTGCCGACCCCAACCCCTCCACACCGCCTCACCGGCCGCCCCGCCGCTCCGGCCTCCCGCCCGGCATGCCCCGCCCCCCTATCGGCCCGCCTCCGCCCTCCGTCCCCGGCTGTGAGGCGGGCGTCCATCCGTGCAACCCGGGTTGAGTGAGGCGAGCAGCCGCCATAAGCAGCCGCATTGTACAGTCATCAAATCCAAGTCGTAAAAAAGAAATATTTCACGCGTATATCATGGAGCTTTCTCGCTGTTTGCCCTGTAAGGATTTGACCCGCACAGACGTATTAGTCAGCATGTTTAGTAACGGAGCAAACATCTCCGTCTCCTCAAAGTACAGTTCCCAGATGCCAGCTCACGTTGGCAGCCTTAAAAACACAGCATAAGCCCAGCACAAGCAGAAGCAATGCTTTGTAAAATCAGGTCTACGTGAACTATAATAATGAGAGTTCCTTTTCTTCCTGCAGGCCCGTAGGCCCCGTGCAGCCAGCACTGCACCATTCCTCAGCCATTTCAACCTGAATATCTGCCCCTGTGACAAACACAAACTGATCTGGTTTCTTCTACAAATGAACATGTTGGTGGTTGTGTGTTTCAGCAGTTATAACCAGTCAAAAAAAGGTTGAAAATATGTAATTCAGCTGTTCTGTGCCTAGGAATGAAAAGAACTAGAAACTACTTCCTAATTTCCCCTCTTCCATCCATTGCCCTTTGCCATTCCATCCAATCCAATATTAGCTTGGATATTCCAATGCGCCCAGGCTTAGGAATAGATAACACTGGCTGTGGAATATTGATATATAAAGAAGTGACATGAGAAGAAGCTGACTTTAATGGACACTGATGGCAATACCACAAAAATAGTTTGCAGCAAGAAATAAATACTGACTTGTAGGCTAAGTATAGGTAGGCAAAGTGCAACAATTGAGGTCAGTGTTTGGTGAGACAACGCTCATAGTTCAGTCTGTTCTTTCAAAAAAATACTCCAGATTTTTTGTCAAATTACCCTTTCAGCTCACTTTTGTGCCCTGCTGCATCTTTGTGTTAGTAGTTATACAAGAAGAATTTTACCAAAGAACAAACGTGTCTTTATCTTTCCTGAAACACAAAGAAAAGTTTGTTTTCCAAACAAGCCCATAGCCATTTGTTGGTTATTTTGTGAAATCTAGCAGGGCACTGGAGCTTTATACAAGCACTGAAATAAACAATGTCTTAATGTGTTATCTTTTAAAGATCCAGAAAAGAAATTTAGATGCGAATATCTGTGCAGCTAACAAGATATTGAATCCTATGTAGTTGAACATATGCAACCACCCATTCCAATAAATTTAACAAGATGTCATTAAAGAAAGAATTCTCTTCCCTGAACATGAAAAATTAAGGAAGTACTATGGTCATAGTCACAGAAATCATAAAAAAAAAAAAAAAACAACAACTTTAGTGGTCAACACTGCACATCAGTGGGTATCCCTATAATTTCTACCAGATAATCTTTAAAGAATTGCTGTAAGAAGATTGCGTAGGTTACGAAATTTGAAAGAAATGCCATGCCAAAGGAAAAGTGTTAGGAACTGGAACAGGCAGTGTTTCACAACTGCTGGATTGCTATGGACAGGTCATTGTACTGTCTGCATGCAGGAATGGACATTCAGATATACTGTTGCAGTGTGATGCATTCCCTGGCCTGTGCCACTGGCAATGCAAGGTGAAAATAATAACAACATTCTGAGATAGTTGAAAGAAGTACAGTGGTTACAAGCTTCATGCTGATCTGTTTGCTTCCAAACTGTTTGCTTAAATGGTCTTCCCATTTTTTACTTCCCATTTTTTATCTTTAAAGTGAGAAACCTGTCTTAAGCATTTCAGAAGATTTTATGTGTATGTGCAAATATGCTCTGTGCCCTGATTTTACCCATATAACTTGCTGATATTTAGCACTCACCTTGTATCTTTCTTAGATGGAACACAGGAGGCCGTTCATAGGACCCATTTATGTTCTCTCTTGGTCAAAAGGGCACAAAGCTGGTACCTCTTTAATGACCATTCCATCTTTCAGCAGGACCCTCCAATATGTAAGGCTGATTTGAGAAGATCATATCGTGCAACCCTTTTAAAGTGTAGACAATTTTAAGCAAGATTAGCCATATCTTACTGATATTGATAGACTTGTCCGGAGCTATTTGAATTAAGTAAAGAAAAGTGGTGGTCAGTGAAAAAAAATCCACTTACAAAGTTTTATAACTCAAATTAGACCCATGTGAAACATAAGCCTATTCTTTAATCAGTCTGATCCCCCTAAGGTGTTAATTGTGGAACAGGCAATATCCCTATTAGTTTAATTGCAGCAAACATATCCATTTTATTATTTTGTGTTTTCACCAGGTTAGGAGTCAGAAGTCACAGCTTCAGCATTGTCTCACTGCTCAGCTCTGCACGAGCTCTTCTTACTGCCTCGACTCTCCCATCTGTACAGTGACTGTGCTGTCCTCATTTTGGAAAGCACAAATAGAAAACCCTCCTGTTCATAGCATATTAATAGTATTTTAAAAGCCACTGTTTGTTTCTCCTCACAAGAGCATATGATTCTCAAACATTTCAAAATGCAGAGGGCCTTCTTATAAAAAGAAAACCCTGGAAAAATGAGAATTTCTTCTGTTCATTTGTGTGCAGTGCACTAGAGGGCCCTCAGGAGTTAGAAATGGATGGAATGTACTTTTGGAAGGCACTTACTCCACAGAACTTTTCATTACAGAATTTAAAATAGAAGAGGGCTTTTTTTTTTTTTTTCATAACGTGAGGTTCATGTAAGTTTATAGCAGTTCGTATGCAAACAACCTCTCAGTACGGTTAGGTTCCAAACAGTATTTAGCTTGTAATGAAGTACATAAATGTGAACTATACTTAAAACTGAAATATGGGCTAGAATTCTTTGAGAACGTCAGTTCTCCTAAGTTATTTTTATTAACCTAAGGAATTTACCAGGACAAAGGATGAGTCAAGCTGAATAGGTAAGAGGTTTTATACTTTTATAGCAGTAAGAATACTGTATGCACTTATTCTATCTTTGTTTCTTTGAAAGGATATATAAGGCACTGTGATTTTATTTGAAAAACTATTGCTAGGTGCTGTTTTATGGCTTCACAAGAGTGTAAAGAATTAAATATCTTTATTTTTAATGTGGGTTTATGAGTAATATGAACTGTATTTACATTAAACTAGGGAAATTTGTTACTGCTACTTTATTTTGGTATTACTGAGTATATGCATATTGAAATACTACAGTTACTGCTTGCTAATAGTGTGTACAGCATTTCCATAATATGAGCTTTAATAAAGACTCTGTTTTATAAGAAAAAGATAACGATTTGGATTTGATAAGCTTTTCTTCTAATGCTGGAAGACAGCTAGCTGAGATTACAGCTTGAGCCTGTATTTCATGATTTTGGTGTTTAACTTACATTGTAATTAGAAAGTGAAAGATGTATTCTGGAACATTTCTAGATGCATATTGTCTCATTTAGAACTTCTGTCTCTTTAAATGTAGACCCACAGAAGCTGAATGTGTGTAATGAAATGAAATGGTACTATTAACCATTTTCTTTTTGCAGTTTGCAAGGAAGAACTTCAGATATTTCAGACTACAAGTGAGTAAACTTTGCTTACGTAGCTGGCTCCATTCATTCTCTGAAACCAATCACTTACCCTGTGGTGGCTGATAAGAATTCAACGGCTTGCAGTGGTGGAGTGTCAGCATCCTTAGTACTAAACACATTCCCAGGCATATCCATAGCCTCTGTCCATCACCCATGCAGGAAGCTTTTTGGGAAAGGAGAAATAGAAAACAGAGAAGGGAAATCATGCATCATCATCATCCTGGCTGGAGTGTACAGAAGACTGTATGCCATTTTCATCATGCAGATTCACTAGAGAAATGACCTTCTTTGATCAGCCAGGTAAAATAAAAAACTTGTTTATTTGTTGCCTGTGCTCCCCACGGACACTGAGGCTGTGGACTTGCAGGCGCCTGAGGACAAGGAGGAATCTGCTGCTGGGCACTGCGTGTGTGATCTACCTGGGATTCCTCGTCAGTCAAGTGGGCCACGTTTTACCCCAGCATAGAGGAGGATACGAAACGATCAGTTCCAGAAGTCTCCAGGATGCAGTGCAAACTTCTTATTTGGGCATCCCACTGGACAGCACCCTGTCACCACCCAGCTTCCAGGAACCCAATCTGGATGGCAATGGGACCTTGGTGCCACCTAACGTGGTTTATATCACCCTACGGTCCAAGCGCAGCAAGCCTGCCAATATCCGAGGCACGGTGAAGCCAAAGAGCAGGAAGAAACATGCAGTCCCATTGTCCTATGGGCAGCACTTTCCAAAAGCTGCTTTCCCTGGCCAGAAAGAGATCTTTTTTCAGCAGCCGGGGAGGGACATTCACGCTGTGGGTGCAATAGGAGCAGCAACAGCTCTGGAGGCAAAAAAACACCAACCGGACATACTCCAGCATAAAGAAATGGCACTCAGGGAGAGGGGACACCAGAGACCTCCAGGGATTTCTGGAAGGATTAAGGCACAGCCTCAGGCTGAAGAAAGTAACATCAGGATTTACAGCGAGAGCTCTCCCTCGTGGCTGAGCAAAGAAGACATTCTAAGCATGCGTATGCTGGCAGATTCTCAGATAGAGAGCATCCAAGAACTACCTTCTCATAAAGCTGTCCTGGTAGTATTTGAGAGGGGTCCCAGCACTGCAGGAACTGCCTGTAATCAGGGGCGCTGTGGCATCATCAAAAGACCTCTTGACATGAGTGAAGTGTTTGCCTTTCATTTGGATAGGATCTTGGGGCTAAACAGGAGCTTACCTTCTGTAAGCAGGAAATCGGAGTTCTTCCAAGGTAATGCATTCCTATGATTTTCAGCTCCCCCATCCCACATTAACCACAGGACAGCAGCAGCTTTAACTTGTGCTAGTCTGAGAACTAATCCCATTGTTAGAAGGGTGTAAAGCTGATGTGTCTGTAGTTTCTGTCAGGTAATTGTGCTGTCCAAACGATGCAGTACTTCCGAATTTAGAATAAATATAAAAACAGTTGAGTTGCTGAGAGCAGTAATGATTCACTGTCTGTGAGAATTAGCAATGATAAAAAAGAGGGAGTCATGCATATGTCGCATGGCATTGTACAGACTGACTAAAGAAATTCCAGAAGGTTCCTTTTGATCCATTGGATATTTGCCTTTTATTTAATTTTTTTCATCTCTTAGATTTGACTTTAATAAAATATTATTGAAAGGGAACACAAGAATTCATCTGTCAAACAGGTGGTAGGCAAAGGGCTTTGTAATTTGTCAGCTAACAACTTACTTAAAAAGGTAAGAGGACTTCCTGAAGAAGCTTGATGCTACTTGCATGCTACTAATACCTCTGGGAACAATTTATTTATTTATTGATATTATGCCCTCTCTCCTCGTGCTTCAAAAAACTACTGTGTCTCATTGAATCCTGCTTGATGTTTTGAGGCTCATTACATATTATATATAATGTAGACAGAGAAATGCTTGCAGGAAATGTTGCAATATGCCTGTTAACACGATTGGTTTAAACAGTTTTCAATGAAAACTTTGGCTTTCTATCCCATAGAGAAATTAAAGATAGATTCAGACATTCAATGCAAGTTAGAAGTCTATGTCTAAGATAGCTACTTATTAAATGTCTGCAGCCTAATTGCTATTTTTGTTCAGTCACAAATCACAGCCCAAAAGGACTACGTTGCATTTTAGTGAATCATTGCTAAAGTGGCTGGCTATTTGTTTTTGCTGTTCATTTCTTACTGCTGAAATTAGCTTAAAGAAAATATTTCTATTTCAGCCTGTCCTAAAAAAAAGAAACAAGTAACACAGGAATGGCTTTCTAAAATCTGATAGCAGGAAGAGGACCTAGTCATCTCTGATTTGTTCCTGCTTTGTAAATGTTCCTTTTGGCAGCCTGCACAACAATGTGAATGAATCTCTAGGAATAACAGTTCAGTGGCTTCTGAATATTATTCATACTTGCAGGCCATGGAAGATACATTATGCCTAGTCTATTTTTAGGCACAAGATTTATCGCTATAGAGCTGTCACGAGGAATTAAGGTAGTTCAGTTTGAGGAATTCTGCACAGCATGGCTGCAAAGATGACAGACTGAAAGTCTCTGTGAACAGCCATTAGGCTAATTGCACACTGTGTCTGTCACCTTATAGTATGTTTTGGACTGTCTGAGACAGACAGAGTCATTTTGCTGTCTTTTATTTTCCTTTCCACATAACTGGCTATGTTCCTATAGCAAGAAGAGTGTTGCTAGGTGATGAGAAGAGAAATAACATTATTTTGGTCCCACTTCATTTTTTCCAGTCAAAGAGTGAACAGAGGATTTGGAA